GACAGGACCAGATAGTTTTTTGATTTTTAGAGATTTTACAGCTATCAGGGGAAAATGTGTAGTCAGGGGAGTGACACTATACACAGGGTAGTGACAAACTGAGACAGAAGAGTGACAACTTCCCATGTGAATGATCTTGAAGGATACTTTATAAAAGAATATAAATACCAATAGGTTGAATAGTTATTTTGTTGAAAATAACAAAATCCTACATGTTCTATTAGTCTCTTAAAAAATAACATTTGGATCAACAGAGCAAACCCTGCTCACACAAGAACTAATATAAATAAAAACCACTATAGCTGTTTATATATTGCAACTAATATAGATAGCAATGTAGGTACCTGAGTAATAATAATAAGAATAATAATAGAAATAAAATTATAAAAACTTAAAACAAAGAATTGACATAATACTTATGGTCAGTCTTTGAATCGCAATCAGTGCTTATAAATAAAAAACGGTAGCTAGCATAAAAATAAAATTAAGATAGGTATAACCCGATTTTTTATGAATTCGAGTAGATACTCATTTTTCGAATGCAGGTATAGGAGTTCTGAATTTATAAAATAATATATTTCCTCTCATTACTATATTTGGCACCGGCAGTCGTTCTAATACTTTTCCAACTTTATGTCGGAAATGTCATGAGATAGAAACATAAGTAATTTAGCATTGCTTGAAAACTCATAAAGTCTATAATTTTCGTTCTTCTTAAAGAGAGCAAAATCAACTCCATATTTGCATGAATTACACACAAGCATGTTTCTCTTCTATGAACGTTTGGATATACAATCCAAAAAGGTCTCAAACGACAAAATGAAGTATAACTTATCGGCACTCCTTTGGTTTTAACGAACCGTGCGTGTAAATGCTTCATCGAGTCTAGTAAAACCCTCTTTTGTTTTTTTACTTTGTTTTTCGTAATGTAGTCATTTTTTCCTGCGCATAAGCGACTGTTGCAGTCTCCTTCAAAAAAATTTTTAATTACGTTCTTTATCTTCTCTCTAGTTTCATTCATTCTTGTTCTCCTTGTCACGTCTATCAAACCTCTCCCTCAGTGGGTTATCGTTTCATAGGCTTCATATCAATTTGACTTAAAACATTGTACTTTCTAACAAACCTACCATTCAATACTTTACGAAACAGTGTCTTCTCATTTTTCTTTTTGGTATGCCTTATATTTTCTTTTAGTTGATTTTGAACTACCTTACTGAATGACAGATGCTTTTTAACTTCTTCCACGTTCTCCTGATTACTTGGGTCCTTTTTTTTTTTTTAGTAATCGGTCCACTTTCGACTTTGGTGACATTTTTAGACTTCTTACTAGTTTCCTTTGAAATCTCTTCACTTTGTTTTTTAATCGATCAGTTTCGTTTTTTTGTTTTTTGATAAGCTCATTTATCCGTTTCCTCTGTTTTTCTGACGGTCTTTTGGCACCTGAAGCTCTATTGTCCAATATTTGAGGATCAAAGTGTGGATCTTCATGGTCTGAAGGCGGCGGTGACTCTGGATAATTAACAATAGTTTTTTGCCTCACACGATCCCTATATCTTTCAGTTTGCTCTCTCCATATCTTTCTCATAGCTCGGTGTTCCCTATCTGTCAGATCTTTTATACTTCTAACTTGTACTTTCTCCTTCTTTCTGTGATACTTCTCTTTTTCTTTTTCTTTTAATTCAGCATTCTTGATTGGATCATTTTTAATTCGCTGGTCGCGTGGTCTTTCTGCTTGGCGTTTTTTCTCCAATATTTCCTCTCGGGTTTGCTTTTTTATAAATTTGCCATTTTAGCGAGTTATGGCTTTTTTGGTATCTGAAATTAATGAAATAGTGTCTATACCACATTCAACTTCAAGAGCAGGAAGCAGGCCGCTCAGAGCCTTAAACTGGGCCAGGCAACTTCTTAGGTGCAGCCCGCTGATTGATGTAACAGATTGGTATGAACACTGACAATGAGCGTTTGAGCACTGAATACGGCACTAGGTGTCTGGCCGTGTCTGTCCCGGCCCCTCATGCCTGACCTATTTCAGATCTACTGCCTCTTGAAGTTGAATTTGGTATAGTAGCTACACATCTTATACAAAAAGGTGCCTTTGTATTTCCCCTGGGCAGTGTGTATTTCCCCTGACATAAAAACTGCCAGGGGAGTGACGCCAGGGAAGTGACAAAAACGTGCGTAAGCCCCAAAAAAGCAAGATATGTTGATTATTATATTATTTTAACGTGATTCATGGCTTTTGTATTCAAAAATCTTAATTTTTTATAAAGTCGCAAAAATGTAACTTTTAAATTCACAAAGATATGCTTACCAGGGGAAATGCTTCACTCACTGGCAAAAGGGTATCGGACGACTGTTAGTGGGCTACTGACGCGTCCCTGGTCTTCGTTTTCCAAATTACGATAGTTTCGCACTATCCCTTCTTCATTTGCCACTTGCTGCTCAAGGTCAAGTCGCATAGTTGCCATATTTTGATGAATATATGCAATTTGAATTGCGCCAGGTGAGGGTGACACTGTTCTCAGGAACCACTGATAAATGGGATTTTTTACGCATTTATGTATATTTTTAGTGTGTCTTTTTGCGAAAATATGTTATCAGATGTAGTAGATAATACAAAGAGTATCCGCTTATTGTTATACCAGTACATAATACAGAGATTTGTTGATGTTTGTAGTGAAATTTGGGAATGGAACATGCCAGGGGAGTATACATTTTGTTAACTTTCAATCAGATTTTTCCTAAATCTTAATGGTTACCTCAATTTCGCCATATGTTCCAACTAAAGATTTACATCTTCCACTATTTGGATGGTCTATTTCCACAATTTGTCCATTGGATTAAGATTTTTTTGCAGGAACATTGAATTCCCCAATAACTGATATTCACCCATATTTCGATTTTTAAGGTTCGGTGCATTTTTAACTATTTATGAGAAAATAATATTTTTTTTACATTTTCGCTTTGGGCATTACAAGTAATTAAGATGATCGTTTAGATTGTGTTTTTAAACACAGCAATAATTCCTAACTCCAAAAAAACAGAATATTAATTTGTTTAATTTTCCAATATTATTTTTAACAAATCAAATTAATTATTTACAACTAAAATGGTATTGGATAGTTAGGAGAAACATACAAAATCTAAAGTAGTTGCTTGAAATGTAAACCCAATTGTTCAATACACAATTCACATCTACGAATGATCGAACGTGGTATAGCATTATTCAAATAAGGTCTTATTTCATCACATGCATTCCTGATTCTGTCTATTAGCATATCTCTTGTGGTTACGGGAGTCTGGTACGGTTTTTCTTTTAGAAATCCCCACACAAAGAAATCTAATGGATTTAGGTCAGGGGATCGTGGAGGCCAGGCGACTGGTCCTCCACGGCCGATCCATCTTTCTGGATAATTTTCGTCCAGCCAGTTTCTAACTATTCTCGAATAATGAGCTGGACAACCATCAAGCTGGGACCAGGCCAATCTTCTCAAATCTAACATAACATCATCCCACATATTTACCTGTTCAGCCTTTAAAAATTCCAAGAAGGTCGCAGCATTTAACCTTGCAGGCAAAAGGTAGGGTCCAAATAATCTATTACGGTAGATACCAATCCACACGTTTACATTAGTGCTGAAAATTTCTTTCCCGAACTGCATGCGGATTTTCATGCGACCAAATATGTTCATTATGAAAATTTACTACTCCACGTCTAGTGAAGCATGACTCATCGGTCCATAAAACGTTATTTAAAAACTCCCTATTATTATCAGTTCTATCAAGAATCCACTGCCAAATGTGATTCTTCGTTCTCCGTCCCCTGGCTGTAGTCCTTGCACAGGTTGCAAATGGTAAGGTCGTCTATGGTCATTTCTAAGAACACGGTGAACATGGCTTGCTGAAATTCCCAAGGCACCAGAAACTCTCCTAACACTTGTGGTCGGATCTCTATCAAACTCACGCAGAATCATACGGGTAAATCTGCGCTGACGAACATTATGTTTTGATCCCTTTGGAGATTTCCAAAAACCATTTTCAATTATTTGGCGATGCACTCTTACAAATACTGAGCGAGTTGGATGTCGTCTGTTTGGAAATCTTCATGCGTATACTCTGGCTGCTTCTGCTGCGTTTCCATTTACAAAATGAATATCCGCTAACTCTTGAGTGGAGAATAAAAATGGCATTTTTATAAATTAAAAAAAAAACAGGTAAAAAAACTAAATTTCGTGCATTCACAATTGCAAAAAAACGTTCCACGTTTCAACAGACAACAAAACTAACTGTCAACTAATTGACGCTTTTAATTTCAAAAATATTTGCAGGCACAGCCTACTTCTAAAAATTATCGAGATACTGACTTTTTAACGTTATTTTATCATAAATAAGTAAACATGCATTGAACCTTAAAATTCGAAATATCTCAAAAACGGCTAACTATAACGAAAATTCACAAGAGAGCTTTTTTATGTTGAAAAGTGCGAAGAATCAGTTTTTTTATTCAAAAAAGCAAAAAATTGCACTAAGAAAAAATTTTGGGTCTTTTTATACACTACAGGTACAGTAGAGAGCGCCCTCTAGCGGCTACAGTAAAACTATGCCCATGGTTCGTTTTGTCGTACCAAAAAACCCTTGTATACCAATTTTCACTGTTATACATCAAATAATGTTCGAAATATTTAAAAAAAAACTATTTTAGAAAGTAAATTTAAACACCCTGTATTTCGGAAGCCACGCATTTTTCGATCCATGTTTATAATAGACTTTATGCATTAATTTTAAAAGCTCTATCGAATCTTAAAATTATGCAACAATAAACTGAAACTGAAACATTGCGTCTATTCAACAGTCTTTGTATCTCTTAACATTTTCCGGATCCCCTTGTTGAATCGAACGAGAAACACCCGGTATAGCTTCGCGAATACACAGCAAGATGCGAATTTTCCGCATAAATCTTTTATCTCTAACTACGGCACAGGAAGCATCGTCAGCTTTTTCAAGAACACAACGTACTTATAACTCATATTAAATGTGATATTCGCGAAATACCTCATCAACGATGCATCAATACATTATACTGTATATTGTAATTCTTCATTTCGAAAGTTCCGTGCAGTATTGTTCCCATGCGAGGGTTTGTGTCCGAAAGTGTAAAAAAAACTGATCGTATCGATGAAACAAATTTGACTTTCTATAGTGGAAATGTTCGATTCAATATCAGCTATGATTACATAAATTTTACCTACGGTTCCGATTGTGTAGAAGATTCATTTCTGTTTCGTCCCGATCCCGAAGAAAAGGTTTATCTACAGACTACCGGTGAATTGTACGTGGAAGGTTTGGGTACTTTCAATATCTCTCAATATTGCATTGATGAGGTGGACGGAGAAATATCGGCTTTAGTGTGCGGGTCTGTTGAGGTCTCTGAAGAGGTGGTGAACTTTGTAGGTAAAGTAAATATATTGTTTCCACTGTCAAGTAGAGTGACTCGTTACTTCCCATTGGGTCAATTTTACTTCCCACGCCTACTGGCAAGAAAATATTGTAATCGCGGGGAACATGTAAAATGAAATATTATGGTTTTCATTTCCGCCAGCCTCTCGGACTATCTGTACGCTATTCCTATGTATGTCTTATTATATTATGCACCAATAGAATGCCTCCTTATTTACGGAATATTAGTTTTCGGTCCCGAAAATACGACGCTAATGAATTTGGTTAAAAAAGCACAAACATCCATTCCGAAAGTGATATACAATAACCCATATTATACACATCTGAACTTCTACACGCTGAAACAAATATTTAACACACAAAATTATATTTTGAATTTGGTATTATAGATAAACATAAAAATAAAAACTATATATTGACAAGATCTTTAGACGCAAATGAACCGGTCGACGTGGTTTTTCTGGATTTTTCCAGAGCTTTCGATCGAGTTCCGCATAAAAGGCTCCTGCACAAGCTTGAACATCTCGGAATCAGGGGAAATTTGTTGTTATGGATTGAAGCTTTTTTGTTAGACAGATCTTTCTCCGTCCGTGTTGGAGACGCCTATTCTTCTAGTCATCGTGTTACTAGTGGAGTTCCACAAGGATCTGTGCTAGGGCCAATACTTTTTCTTCTTTATACAAGCGACCTTCCCACCCGACTTTATTCTATGTGTTCCATCTATGCAGATGATACTAAAGTCTATAACACTGTCATGAACTCATCTGTGCTTCATGAAGACCTCAAGCTGATCAGAAAGTGGTCAGAACTCTGGCTCCTGCCTTTAAATCTATCGAAATGCTACGTTCTCCACCTGGGAAAGAATAATCCTAACTTAACATATAAGATTGGCAAACATACCTTAGAGTCTGTTCTTCATCACACAGATCTTGGTCTGACAGTTAATGGCCGGCTCACCTGGTCGGAGCACATTCAGAACATAACCTCTAAGGCAAAGCGGTTGCTATATATGATGGAAAGGTCATTTAGCGGTTGCACCGTTAGTACCTCCTCCTTTTTATACACAACTTTCGTACGACCCCTACTGGAGTTTGCTGGTCCGGTATGGGATTCAAACCTTGTTCGCGATAGCAGCTTATTAGAGGCCGTTCAGCGTCGTGCAACACGTATGCCATATGGCACACGTAGGCCAAGTTATGAAGACCGCCTCGAGCTATATAACCTGCCTGCTTTTGCTGATAGAAGAGTACGAGGAGATCTCATCATCACTTTCAGAGCACTGCATAATTTGTTTGGTGTGGACATGTCGCATCTGTTTCGTCTGGCAACGAACAGTCTCAGAGGCCATAACTTCAAATTGCAGAAGGAAGCTTTTAGAACCTCTACTCGTCAGCGCTTCATCTCAAACCGTGTCTTCGATGCATGGAACAGTCTTCCATCTTATGTAGTGAACTCGGAATCCGTCAACAGTTTCAAAAACAATTACGATAGACACCGCAGTGCTTAACATATTGTTCCCATTCTGTATATGTCTACTTCAGTAGTGCTAAGATTGTCAAATTGTTATATTTCTTTTGTCTGTACACTATTATCTATTTTTGTGTTTGAGTTTATAGTACTTGTACTCAACTCAAATTTGTTGTTTAATAATAATAATAATAATAATAAGAATTATAATTATAATACTAGAAACAAGAACTCTCAAATTACTTTATTTACTCCAAAGAAGGACATCATGCTGAAATCATGAAAAAATAATGTCAGTTTGCTTTATATACTATGGTCCAAAAATATTTCCTTACAAAAACACTTGGTGTTGAAGTTTTAGGAAAAAAATCGAAATTAATTAATATTTTCAGAACCGCTTCTGATATTTCACTGATATTTAGATCGTAGTGGAAGTTAATAAAGCTGCATATTTTTCAATGCAAAAATAATTTTTAGCTTTAACAGTGGCGTGCGTACGGGTATTGGCTTTGATATTTTTTAAGAAAAAAATGGTACGCCAATGGTTATTTGCCAAATTAAAATTATTTTTGAATTCCCCGTTCAATTTTAAACAAATGATCTCTCTTGAATTTTTTTCTTTCGATGCGTCATTTTTGAGTGAAAAAATAAAAACCGTTCTATTGTCTAACTTGCTAAATAACATATCAGTGAGTCATATTTAACACTTCCTCGATCATTCTGACTGTCAACCTACTATCTGAACGCACAAGATCTCTGATTCTGACGATACGGACATCCAAATGACTCGGGCGAGTTCAAACTTGTACTGAAAGCGGATCACATGTTCCCCTATCTCCCCTCCAAGCCCGACGCTTCCAGTATTGCCAGATCGAACGCTACGTTGCCAGACTCATCACCTAATTTGCATACCTCATACACAACGCCGCATACGCTGTATAACATATTATGGTTATTTATTTTGGTAACCAACATTTATTTTTATTTAATGTGCCTATTTATTCCTTTTCACGCACAAGGATATCGTTTTGTAGATTGAAATTCATTCACAATGCTATATAGTATATTAATGTAAATAAATAATCCTTATTATGGTTCATCCTTGGCACGTCTGTAACTCGGAAAGTACCTCTTAAATTTTGATAAAAAACGAAAAAAATAAACAAACGTTCAAACTTCGTTTTTCGGCATTTCGGAGGCTCTTGATCATTTAAAAATCGAGTGTTGGGACTTGTAGGGGGTGGGGTTTCTATTTTTTGGCGGTAAACGGCTGTCGACTAATTGTATGAGCCTGTTTGGTTGACTTGATCCATTAAATGTTTTTGTTAAAAATCGTCGTAGCTCTGAGGGTCTAACTTGTGCTGATCGTGGAAAGTTATGAACAAACTGATGCCAGCGTTGCGTGGTTGCAGAGTCAACCTACTTGACGCCAAAAATGTGAATTGTGTGATAAGGACAAAGTTGGTGAAACAACGAGCGTTTGTGCCCTTGATTGTGTCCAAGGAAACGAAAAGAATGCTATACATGAATATACCTGTATATATATATATATATATATATATATATATATATATATATATACAGGGTGACTTTGAAGTTGAGTCATTAATTTTCAGATAATGATTGTAGAAAGAAGATAAACCAAAATATGTGTGTAAAAATAAAAAAAAATAAACAAAAATGTTACCTTGTTTTATAAAGTATCCTCCCGACAAGTATTTCAGTGCGGACCTGTATTTGATCGTGCGGTCTTGGAGCACCGGCATGCCCTCCCCTGTGAGGTCTTAAGTCACCTGATTCACGAGCCCTTTGTACTACATTAACAAAGGCACGAGGGGTTGGTTGCACTCGATTGGGAAACCGATCCGCATAAATCCGTGATGCCGCGGCAGCATTTTGTAAAGACTCTTCCCCCGTAAATAAGAATCAGGTCCACAAGTTTAGCATTTTCGTAAACATGTGCCATTTTTTATTTAGTTTGGGCCATGCAACAAACACCACTATTCACTCACGCGTTACCGACTGACACATTGACTGAATACAACTGAATAAAATTGTAGTAAAAACATCGTGATAAGCGTTTCAAATTCTTTCGCTTTTTTGTTTCCGATGCGATGAACCGATAAGGCGGATTATATCCGTTGTTGCCAAACACGAGCACATAATATTATTATTGAGACAGGGCGGTACACAAACTTCTAAAGGGCTATAACTTTGTTACTTTAATTTTACCACAAAAATGTTAAAGGAAAAAAACATTTCTTTTGATCAGATCTACTCACTGTTAAAATAAATGACTCAACTTCGAAGTCACCCTGTATATCTGTTATCTTAACCGAATTCAACTTCTCAGATATTATGGTACATCACAAAACTATCAATTTTTTGCTGAAATGGAAAGACATTTCTCGTTCAAGATAGAATTTTGTACCAGTAAGGATACTCGTCTTCTTCAGTGTAAAAAACAAGCGCCTGTTAAAATGCTCCAATATTTCGCGGGCCTGAATCACGAGACACTCAGCATAAACAGATGTATACAGACGTGAATCAAATCATTCTCACTCTATTTATTGCCCCAATTTCAGCCGTAATGTGTTTCAAATCTTTTACACAAGCGTACATCTCTCCACATTGAAATGTAATCTCAACGCGCTATCTCTTATCAAATCGAGATTAAGACGGGTACGCAACGTCGCGAAACTATTATTCAAGATTTTAGTACTCAATGTACCGCGGACCGGCTTCTATTGACATAATAAATTCTAAAAAACCGATGGTTCGTGGATCGTATGTACCTAGTTAATAATAGAAATTGTTTAAAAAGGCCGACGTGCATCAAGTCTTACTTTAAACAACTATGTTCGTTCAGATCCGGCTTGCAAGTGATGTACTCAACATCTAAGATGTGGTTGAGGATCGTAGTTTTGTGTTCCGTGGTCTCCGGTGCATTTTCAAATTGTTCGATATTCCTCAATGACGAGTGTATTTGTGACTCCACACGATGCTTAAACAAATGTTGTAAAGAAGGTTATTGGTTAGAAAATGGAGCTTTGTGTGTAAAGAGAGAGAACGCAAACTCAACTCCTCTCAAACTTAGCGAAGAGTATGAAAACTCCAAAGCCATACGATGGTGTGAAAACCCCACCGAACTTACCGATGAAGATCTACACAGCTCTGAAGGTTTTTGTATCGAAGAAAACTATGAACCATTCACTGGGTCACTTAGAATGGTCAAATGTGCAATCACCTCCAAGATTATCCATTCTGTAAAAGTCCCGGTTAGGAAATGCTGCGAAAAATCTGAGATCATGTTGAATAGCTCCTGCAAATACCGGGATAGCGTAGATCTGGATCCTCTTGTCAAAAGCATCAGCCTGAGAAGCAGTCAACGCTTGGTGACGTCCATGCTAAAATGTAGAAAAGATAGGCATAGAATCAGAGTGGATAACTTCAAATTGGAAGAGGACGGTTCGTTGTTATGGGAGGATGAGGTGTTGGTGAACATTGACAGTTATTGTGTGGACCTGTTCACAAGTGATGGCGTAAACTATCATACTCAGGCGTTATTGTGTCTGGAAGCTGATGAAGAAATTAGTTCCGAAGTACACGCTACCGGTGAGTAGTAGCTCTCTTCGTAAGTATTTTCAATCCACTAAAGGGCCGTTCATGTCGCCAGATCAACAAAGGCTTGATCAGGCACGAACACATTTTGTCAATAGCGGCAGCTGCTGGTAAAAAGATATGGTATTTATTGAGGGTTGAGAGGCACTTTTCTCCACGTGACCTCCTCAGGTACAGATACGATCTAGCCGCGAGTATTGCTCATATGTTTGGGGTGCTGCCGTCTCGACTACATTATCTAAGCTCGATGCTCTTCGGAGTAGGGCTGTCCGACTGATCACTGGCTACCTGGAAATATGACTGATTTTTTTATCAACACAGGTCCAAAGCCACCTTAAAAATGTTGCAACTGTTGTATCGGTCAAAAAAAGTTATGATGCATAATATCTGCAAGACTTCCGTACGCTCTGGTATCATTACATCGTAACGCGTCGACGAGCTCCGTGACGCTGTTGCTGGGACTCCCTCGCGATAGCGTTGCTGAATTCGGATCGGACCCTCCGCAGGTAAAGGGTCTCGCGTGTTGCTGGGTATCTAATGTCGCTGGAGTCACAGTCGTGATTAAACTATGGGCTATTGTCTTGGATTCTCGGCAACGTAAAAACAAAGGAGCGGTCGTACCGGCCAGTTTTTGATACGGAGTTAGAAGCGAAAGCGTGAAATTCTGAAGCACAGCTCAGCGGTGCAATCTCCGTTGCAGTCTAGGTAGAAGAGCTATCACTGATCGCTTTGAGGTTTGATATCCTTTAAAGATTGTTTTATGGCTAACCTTAACGAACCTCGCATAAATCCTTGACTAAGCTACACTTTTTCAGCGAGACTAAAACTAGAATACATGTAGATAAGCACCATTTGAGTCATATGTTTTCCGCTGACTGACGGTACAGCTAACAGATAACTTTTTATTGCTTTACAAGTGTAAATATATTGCGTTTTGAATTCATCTCAGTTCAGCTTGTTCAACATCACTGTACTTGACAATATAATAATATTTTTCAGGGAAGTTAGGAATTTTAAAAATGTCATATTTGTTTAAGCAATATTATGATCATTTTTAAGCATAGTGGAAGCCAAAAAAATTTTTTGGGGGCTGTTAGGGAAGTTATATTATGTCATTTTAGTCACTTAAGTCAACTGTGATCGAAAATTTGATATATTCCTAACATTTGACAGACAAATGAAAATTTCGAATCGACACTACTAAAAAAAAATTAAGGGGTTAACAAAATTTCAAATTTTGCCGTAATCTTTGAGATGCTGTATTTGGGTGAAAAATGGTCATATCTAATCATTTTGAAGCTTTATGACTCTAGTTTTCAGATGTTTTGGCCAATGATTTTTAGGAGCAATGGCTCATGCTCACCAAGAAAAAAATTTTTGCTTTCTTCTTTTTAGTTCTCGGGCTTGAAAAAATGTTTTTCTGTTAGGCCATGGGGATCAGACAGCCCTTTATTCAGCTTTATTATTCTGTTTTTAAAAATCTCGATACGATCTTTTGGCGCATAGATGACTTTGGATGACAAACGATCCTTTTGTCATCGACCCCTGATCTCGGTAACCAGTGATCGCCCAGAGAATGTAAGGGTACTAATCTACGAATTTCAAAATTTTTCCAAGTATTTTTTTAAGTTGAAGGTGTTACATATATCCACTAAGGACAACAAAAGAAAAAAATGATTTTTCACTATGTTTTGATAAAAAAAATGTGCTCCCTTAATTTCTTTCAAATTGTGATCTTTGTGTCCAGAGAAACCGTACAATGGAACAACCTGCCGTCGTGCAGTGTTATTAGGGGTGCATTGAGGTATAAAAAACCTAAAAACACTAGCCTTCTCATTAGCAGTTCCAAAATAGCGATCGATTTTCCAAAACAATGTATAAAGTACGATTTTTACCGTTTTAAAATTATTACTAAGGAAACAAAAAAAATCCTCAAAGATTGTAATCAAATTCTATAGATTTCGGAATCACCCTTACATTCTTTGTGGGATAACGTTACCGAGATATCAGTAGTCGATGACAAAATGATCCTTTTTCATTCAATGTCAGATATCTCCGCGTCAAATAATCGTATCGAGATTTTAAAAACAGAATATTGAAACTGAACAAAAGTGTTATCCGATCTACATGATGGCCTGACAGAAAAATGATTTTCCAAGTCCGTTGACTAAAAAGAAGAAGGCAAAAATTTTGCAAATCATTTTTCTTGCGCTATTACAATTGCATGAGAACCGTTGCTCCTGGAATTTTTTGGCTAAAGAACTTGAAAAATGCAATCTTAAATCTTCGAAATGCTTTTTTAAATGCCTAGATATGTCCATTTTTCACCGAAACAGAGCTTGTCAAAAATCACCGAAATATTTAGATTTTTTCCCCAGTTTAAATGGTTATAAAATTTTGTATAAGTACTTAATGAAGCATAATAAGTAAATGATAAAAATTTCAAAATGATTGCACTGCTTTAAAGCCCTTTGACCTTTAATAATGTGTGGATGCACCCTGAGGTGCTACGCATTCTCCAACGCGCCTAGGCATGCTTCTGATCAGGTGGTCAATGTCCTCCTGTGGTATCTCATTCCAGGCAAGCATCAACTCCTCTCGAAGTGCTTCTAGAGTCTGAGGAGGACGTTGCAAATTGAGCAATCTCCTACCCATCATATCCCACACGTGCTCAATTGGGGATAAGTCGGGAGATCTTGGTGGCCATGGTAACAATGTGACATCATTATGTTGAAAGAAGTCTATTGTGACTCTTGCAACATGTGGTCGGGCATTATCTTGTTGGAAAGTTGGATCTGCCAGGGTGTCAAGATAGGGTAAAAGCTTGGGTTCTAGAACTTCGTGGATATAACGCTGCGCGTTCATGTTACCTCTGATGAAGATTAAAGGTGACCTGGAACCATAAGCTATAGCACCCCAAACCATAACTCCAACAGTCTTTCAACAAAAAACTGTGGATTCCTCCTTTCACCACGTCGCCTTCTAACCCTGGCACGACCATCGTGCATGCCTAAACAAAATCGAGACTCGTCACTAAAGACAATACTGTTCCATTCCTGATCCCAGAGTGACCGTTGTCTGCACCACTCAAGGCGATTACGTCGGTGTTCTCGAGTTAAAGGGAGGACCCAGTGTGGCCGGTATGAAAACAAGCCAAAACTTCTCATTCGTCGGTAAACACTTCGCATGCCAATAGGTCTTCCGTGTTCTGCAAACCATTCATTTGCAATGGACCTGGTAGTGGAGAAACGGTCCCTTAAGGCCAATAATCTTAGGCGGCGATCTTCACGGTCTGTTGTTCTACGGCGGCGTCCAGTGCCCCTTGCTCTTTGCGTACGGCCTTCTCGAAGCCATGCCTGATAACACCTAACCACAGTGTCTACAATTCTTTGCACTCTAACTGCAATTGCCCGAAAAGAAAGTCCAGCTTCCCGAAGTCCCACTATACGGCCCCTATCAAACTGTCTAAGTTGACGAAATCGTACAGGTCTCCGTACTCCAGGCATCGTAACCGATCGTAAAGGATGTCAAGAACCAAAATCCGACAACGTTGATTCTTTACTGCGGCAGAAATATTCATTTTTAGAGCGTTAGTGAATTAAAAAAAATCAGTATAAAAACCGGAATGTCCAACTGATAAGGCTGAACATTTTTTCACTTGTTATTTACAGTAAGATAAATACATTCACCAACTTTTATTAAAATAAAACCATTTAAACTGGGTGTTCGGATTTATATGTCACTTAGTATATCTCTATAAGTAGATTATTATCTCCAAAATTTAAAAATATATTTCAGTATGTAAATATAAATACATAGATTTGTCGAAAAAGCAGCGGTTAAAATGGAAAGAATCACAGTTAGTGGAAAAAGGTCAAAGGAGGGATGTGTAAAATATCATACATATTAGGTTACTTCAAGCTTTCTGAGATCCATTTATGAGAATAATCAGATAACCACATACGTGGATTTATGTCAAAAAATAATGGAGGTTTCTAAACAGTCTAACTTTATGACTTCCATAAAAAAATTATACCTGAATTAATTTATGATAGTTATTTTTGAAACAAAAGACGTCAATATAAGTTTGAATACCTATGGAACGATGTACATAATTTTTAGTAATTACATTTTTTTGTTATTCGTTGTGCATTCAATACTGCGTTTATGTTTTGTAATGCTACATATTATTTCGCCTTGAATACTTTGGTACACATGTTATATGAGCCATTAGGAATGTCATCGGAAAATTTACAGCAGGAATTTCAAATGAATATACACTGCTTAGATTTTAGCGAGGAATCAAGAAAAAATATAATATGCTAACAATACAACCTAAAGCCTTGAGCGTTTGATTACAGACTTGTTAACCTTACGGTACCAGCATTTTAATTGTTGATAAACACTCTTCTTATTATAAACTGGATTTGTACTGTTACGATAGGAAAAATCATGCCCTAATTGTCCGATTTTTCCAGATTTCAGAACAACACAGTTTTAATGTGAAGAATGACTCATAGAGCATAATATGGAAATGTCGGATTAGTCATATTTTTAGGGTTTTTCCAGAACAACTGTACTGTTTATACAGTCACTGTTTATATACGGTTATATTGCAATCAGCTTTTATTGCCATTTTGTAATTGACTTACATAGCTATCCTTTCGCGATATTATACGTTGCATATACTTGTTTTGTTAAGTGATGAAGTGACTCTATATACAGGGAAAACCAAATTTGTCTGTCGGCTTGAAATTATAAGAGATATTAGAAAGAGATAGAAGCCGACTGGAGGGCGAAGGTCATCACTATATCGCCTAGCAACGGTGACGCAGGTCATGCAATCTTCCGTGTTGCCAATGTATTACAACAGAAAATGTTCGCGCAGGCTTCTGCAATAGGCTGGGTTACTGTCAAACTCAAGAAGGAGGTCTTTTCGAACATTTAATTTAATATTTTGTTCTCATTTTGATTAAAATTATTTATTTCAATTTTGATGCGACTCAACAGCCAGAGCGATTTGGCTGACACCATACTGTGCCTATACTTAACTGATGATTGCTGGAAAATATGAAACAACGTTGTGTACGGAAACTGAAAGTAAACAGATCGTGTTCAGGGTGTATTTAGTCTATGATAGTAGTACCGTGGGCCTTAGCAGTGACAATGGACGAATCTGTGGTTTCCTAGTTCAAATATTCTTTCAATTCCGTGCAATTTCCGATTAAGTCGGAAATGGAGCTCAACTTCATTATTTCAAATCGATCACCATTTATACCGGATGACCCAGAAATGTAGACCTCGTTTATGAAGTGGATTTCGCGCAAAAATGCTCCAACATCTATTTAACCTCCAAAGTGGCTGTGAGCAAACTTTTCTTTTTCGTTATTACAAGGGCGGCTTGATTAGTGAAGTTGATTACGAACAAAAGCAGGAAAACTACTTTCATTTCGATTATTTCATGTTACAAGCTGTAACAAGACGGGTTGGAATACTGTGACCATCAGATAAACGTCAAAACATTGCAAGGCGAGTCGTCACACCTTCTACAATTTATAATTTAAAAAACATATACTTGTGATCTCATTTAGAGTTTCCTTAAATTTCCTTCATCGTAGTTCCTACTTAACTGACTTCCTTTATGGAAGGTAGATCCCGACAATCTGGCCAACTCAAAATACAAACTCTCACGCTACTAGAACATGACGAACTTCTGAGACCAGACTTCCTGATACCCAGGCAGATTAAGATGAAACTCACTGGCGACACGCAACCCTTAGGTTTAATAGTGAGGAATTTCATCAGAAACTCTATTGCCGGTGAATAGATGAATATAAATAGAATAGAAATAGGTGAATGTAAAATACAATCAACAGGGTCATTTATCCAAAGACTACGGCTGTGTATTCAACATGGTGGAGATATTTTCGAGCATTTTGTAGATTAGGTGTTGAGTAGTGATAGTTGTTTGTTCATGTTGTTGTGATAGTTGCTTTTCTCTATTCCGCTTGAAGCTGTTTTATACTGATTTATACTGTTTTGATTGTTATCAGTTTTTACGTCAAATCTGTACTCTTAGTGGCAATATGGAACTAGCCCACTGTTTGTCTTTTGTTTCCATGGATGATGTTATTTTTTTCCTTAATTTTGGTGTGTTGTTCTATTAAAAGCTTAATGACTCAAAATCTAGTGATTTTATCTGAATCAAACCTCATACCAAAAAAAGCTTATGAAAAATTGAATCCAAACTTGCACAAATATACAGGGTGATGCATTTTAATTTTTTTATAAAAGCACAATTCGCGTTTTTGACCTTACCCTGTAGGAGCAAAAATGAAAAATCGAAAAAGTAACAAATAAGATATGAGCTGAGGTGTGTAAGTTTTTTTTGATACAAAATTCAGCACTCCAAATTTCAAAATGGCGGATTAAGGGCTTGCTGAAGTTGATGGTTTTTCTGAACAAAACACCTTACACCTCAGTAGCTAATTATCAAAACCCCATAGTAAGTTATATCAATCTTCTTCTTTCGAATTAGTTTATCCAAATATGCAATAAAATTTGAGGCTTTCCATTTGAAAAATCACAACTTTGATATGTAGGTCGAAATTGGGGCACCCTGTATAATGGCCAATATTTTAGAAATATGCCTTCAAATATCATGTATAACATGCCATAAATAGATTTTTCCAAAATGTATTTGTTTATGAGTAATATTCCGTCCACACATGGATGGGCCACCCTGTATATACAAGCCAGACCTTAGGATCATTTGTGAATAAATGTTGTTTCTTGGACTTCCATCATCAATAAAGTTTTTTTTGGAATTTACGTCGTTTTGGTTGATGTGATCTTCAATCGTCATCAGGTGAACTGTCGAACAAGTTCCTTTTTTTTTTGTTCTGTTATTGGCACTGGTCGATGACCAACTGGCCAGATCCTTATGTTCAGTATAATGGCTTGACCATTTGTACCACTTGATGTCATGGCTGGTGGTTGGTTACGACGTGTCCCTTGTTGAGTTGCACTTGTTTGATGTCGCTTATAATCGCCATACTGGCTCAATTTCAACACTTGGATTACTGAAAGCATTTCCATTCATTATTATGAAAGCCGCTTCCTTGAATTTTCTCCCAAGACAGAGTGTTTCTTTGTGAAAGACCTTAGTGTGATCCTAAAATCTTCTGTGGTGTTTTGACCAAGCGTAATTTGATATTACAGATTTATTCGTTTAAACCCCGTTCATGTTGTTGTTCTCTTCTTCCCTTGTAAGGTGTTTGAAGAAGGCTTGTAGTTTTCATTTTCAATGGTTCCAGATTACGAAAGTGTCGTCCACTGCCGAAAGCGGTGAGCTGATTGTCAGACCTTCCTCCTAGCTGTAAAACTCTTCTTTTACTTGAAAGTAAATGTTTTTTTAGGCAGAATGTGGGTACCGTTATTTGGGATGAATAGAACCACGGGGTAAATAAACACAAAAATGGGGAATTAGTTATTTTCTTAGCTAAGAGGCTCAAATTTTGTTATATCACACTAAAAATACTTAGAATCAGTTGTTTGGACGCTTGGCAACCTATTTCTTGTCATCAATATTGGTTCGATTTTATATTATACTAAGTGACATATAAATCCGAACACCCAGTTTAAATGGTTTTATTTTAATAAAAGTTGGTGAATGTATTTATCTTACTGTAAACAACAAGTGAAAAAATTTTCAGCCTTATCAGTTGGACATTCCGGTTTTTATACTGCTTTTTTTTAATTCACTAACGCTCTAAAAATGAATATTTCAGCCGCAGTAAAGAATCAACGTTGGCGGATTTTGGTTCTTGACATCCTTTACGATCGGTTACGATGCCTAGAGTACGGAGACCTGTACGATTTCGTCAATTTAGTGAGTTTGATAGGGTCCGTATAGTGGGACTTCGGGAAGCTGGACTTTCTTTTCGGGCAATTGCAGTTAGAGTGCAAAGAAGTGTAGACACTGTGGTTAGGTGTTGTCAGGCATGGCTTCGAGAAGGCCGTACGCAAAGAGCAAGCGGCACTGGACGCCGCCGTAGAACAACAGACCGTGAAGATCGCCGCCTAAGATTATTGGTCTTAAGGGACCGTTTCTCCACTACCAGGTCCATTGCAAATGAATGGTTTGCACAACACGGAAGACCTATTGACATGCGAAGTGTTTATCGACGAATGAGAAGATTTGGCTTGTTTTCATACCGGCCACACTGGGTCCTCCCTTTAACTCGAGAACACCGACGTAATCGCCTTGAGTGGTGCAGACAACGGTCACTCTGGGATCAGGAATGGAACAGTATTGTCTTTAGTGACGAGTCTCGATTTTGTTTAGGCGACGTGGTGAAAGGAGGAATCCATAGTTTTTTGTTGAAAGACATGTTCATCACACTGTTGGAGTTATGGTTTGGGGTGCTATAGCTTATGGTTCCAGGTCACCTTTAATCTTCATCAGAGGTAACATGAACGCGCAGCGTTATATCCACGAAGTTCTAGAACCCCATCTTTTACCCTATCTTGACACCCTGGCAGATCCAACTTTCCAACAAGATAATGCCCGACCACATGTTGCAAGAGTCACAATAGACTTCTTTCAACATAATGATGTCACATTGTTACCATGGCCACCAGGATCTCCCGACTTATCCCCAATTGAGCACGTGTGGGATATGATGGGTAGGAGATTGCTCAATTTGCAACGTCCTCCTCAGACTCTAGAAGCACTTCGAGAGTAGTTGGTGGTTGCCTGGAATGAGATACCACAGGAGGACATTGACCACCTGATCAGAAGCATGCCTAGGCGCGTTGGAGAATGCGTAGCACATCAGGGTGCATCCACACATTATTAAAGGTCAAAGGGCTTTAAAGCAGTGCAATCATTTTGAAATTTTTATCATTTACTTATTATGCTTCATTAAGTACTTATACAAAATTTTATTAAAATAAAACCATTTAAACTGGGTGTTCGGATTTATATGTCACTTAGTATATATCATATTGAAAACAGTTTTGTTAATATGATGTGCAAACAATATCTATATTTCATTGTATTATAAAAGAAAAATAATACCGAACATTTATGTATCAGGGTTCGTACGTCATGAGCTGGCTATAGGCCGAAGTGGTATCTTCTTTGTGAAAAAAAAACTCTATAGACAACGAAAGTCCGAGAAACACCTCAATGTTTATTTGTATTTGTGTATTCTAGGCTCCTTCTTATACCGCTGATGAATTTTATTGTTACGAGATTGTCAAGACTAGGTTGCAATGAAAATCCGCAATGAGATACGGCCACCATGTACAATCACACATCTGCAATGTAGGTCGCATATTTTCATATCGCCGAAGCTAGAAATGAATTCTCCATCTAGGCACTCTATCATTGCGTCCTTCAAGCCATACAGAATTAGATACACTTAATTAGGGCTGTTTACACACCCTATTCCTGCGCTTATTCTTTTTTGCGTGTTTGTCTGGTAAACATCACCCGCAAAATGCCTCAGGTGAAAATGTTCGTTTGCGTGTTTACAATGTTTTCTGTGTTCGGTACTCTATTCGCTGTATGCCCAAAACCTCTTCGCTTGAATATCACTGACGGCGAAAGAAATAACAATACCATCACAAAAAACGGGCTGGATTTTGAGTTTGAGGACTACTTTACGTATGAGGATGACATTTTCGGGTGTCCTTGTAATATTACAAAGTGCGTAAGAAAGTGCTGTGGTGAAGGGCAAAGTTGGATACGCAGAAAGTGCGGAGATACAAACAAGACAATGGACTTTCAATTCTACAACATCACAGAATCGGTTGATGGAAACGTCGATGATTTTTTCGTGATATACGGAAGGCAGTGTGAATTTTCGAAATTCACCATTCGTTTGGAAGGAAAGTCGTATCTTCAAGCCGATGGAAGTTTGTATGGAATCGATATGTCCAATGAGCAGTACAAAATGTATAGTCCTGATGAGTATTGCATTGAACAGGCATTGGTGAAAACTGAGACTGAGGAGAAGTGGTTGCTGCAGACGTACGTCTGTCCTGGAGGACCGAAGATAGAAGAGGAGATCCAGGAAGATGAACAAAGCACTTTCGTGAGAGGATTTGGTATGACATTTGAATTATAGTAGCCGTGTTGAGGTTAATGTGCATTTACATTGGTTTTTGGGTACTTTCAAGTAGTTTTTCAATGATACTTTGGACCATCATGGTCAGGCGGATGTCGTCTATACACATTTTTCTGAAGCTTTTGACAAGATAGATCGTGGTATTCTATTGAGCAAAATATCTAATTTTGGATAATTTAATGCTTGATTTAATTCAACCATATCTTGAAAATAGGTCTCAATATGTTTTTTCATAATGGTTCTGTATCTCAAGAATATAGAGTAGCTTCAAGTGTACCTCAAGGTTCCAAATTAGGTCCCCTCCTATTTTCACTGTACATAAACTATCTATTTTGCAACTGGTCTTCTTTGGATTTATGCTCATGATCTGAAAATCTTCGTAGCAGTAAATGACATCTCAGATTGCCGATTTTCGACAGCAGAACCTTGATTCTGTCAAGCTGTTCTTGAATGAATCTAAATGGAAAATTCTCAAGAATTTTCAGGAAAAAAGCAGATAATTGAACATCAATATAAGGTTGCGAATCTGAGTATATGGTTCGTGAAAAACTAGGCTTCAATTATAAAGGGTTGTCCAATAGGGACGCAGGAAAGTAAACGTCAATTTGACATAGACGCCATCTTTGTTTTCTGTCACCGACATGTCATTTTGTTAGTTGAATGTTTACCATTGATCGCTATGGAGTCGTAT